GTGTGTGTGTGTGTGTGTGTGTGTGTGAAACTACATTAACCAGGTTACTAGAATAAAAAATATTTCATTTTGATTAAATGGGGTCTCCGAGGAGAACAACCCCCACTGATTTTTTCCCCTTTAATTTAAATTAAATTTAAATTTGAACAATGGAATGACTACTAACCAAAATATAGGATAAATCCAGAAGAAGGTTACATTGGCAAGATCAAAACGAGACAATATGGACGTTAAGATGCGCAAGAAATCACGAATCAATGTGTGTGTGTGTGTGTGTGTGTGTGTGTGTGTGTGTGTGTGTGTGTGTGTGTGCGTGCGTGCGTGCGTGCGTGCGTGCGTGCGTGCGTGTGTGTGTGTGTGTTTGTGTGTGTTTCTTTTTTGGAGATTCCCGATTTTATTCCCTGCGGAGGTTTTCCAGTCCTTGGGAATTAATAAACTGGTTAAGCTTCTCTTTTTTTTTTTTCGTAATTGCAAGCTTCTTTTTTTTTTCTTTTTTTTTTTACAATTCTTTCTTGTCATTTCATTTTAATATATTCGTTTTTATTACAATAACCAGCCGCATTACCTGCGCCTTTGCTGCATGTCACACTTTTATTTTTTTGTAAGAAAATGATGATTGATTTTAAATCATTATTATAATTTCTGGAGAAAAATAATGCATTTCAGTATTACTCAATGATCTTGCTGATGTGACCTCCATCTTCTGACTTTCTCCTTTTTATATTCTGGATAGGAGTCATTCCCTTGTTCAAATTTAAATTGAATTTAAATCAACGAGAAAGAAATTTCAGTGTGCGGTTTGTGAAAAAACAGCTTGTTCTAACCCCTTTGCTATGTATTTGATGCATTATTTGATTGAATGAATTGATGAATAGATTTCAACATTAACATGACAGTTGAAATGTCACAACAAATATATATTGTAAGGCACTATCCACTGATTCGTGATTTCTTGTTCACCTTAACGTCCATATTGCCTCATTTTGATCTTGCCGATGTAACCTCCATCTTCTGGCTTTATCCTTCTATATTTTGGACAGTAGTCATTCCCTTGTTCAAATTTTAATTTAATTTAAATCAAAGGGAAAAATCAGTGGGAGTTGTGCATCTCGGAGACCCCATTTGATCAAAATAAATTATTTTTATTCTAGTACCCTGGTTAATGTAGTTTCAGAATATATATATATATATATAAGGTAATGGGGTCTATCTCCAAAACCCTAGGAGGAGTTTGATAACAAACAGACAGAGGCTACGGCTTTATATATAGAGATTAGATATTTATACAAAAACAATAAAATATAGTTAATAAGGTATTCAAGAGATTAATTCTAAAAGAAAAGGCTGTGAATGAAAATAGAAACATGTGAAGAAACGAAGAAAAGACAATGAAGAAGTAAATTGAAGGCGAAGAATTGAAATACACAGTCACAAAAAGAAAAAAGAAAAAGTCAAATAGTAAAACCGCGAGAAATGAAGAAAATTGTTGAAACAGAAGAATGAAAAATGATAAGGAAAACTCACAGAATGCGTAGAGCGAGATGAAGAATAAAAAGGTAAATGAAAATGAAATCTAGACTGAATGATAGAAAAGTAGAGGGACAAATAGAAAATGATTATTATAAAGAAAGCTTATATGACAAAGTAAAGAAAGAAGAGAGAGAAAAAATTTAGGCTTTAAAAACAATGATATAAGAAAAAAAAGAAGGAAGAAAGAAGGAAAGAAATATATAAATATATGCTGTAAAAATAATAATAAAAGAAAGAAATGGGAGATATATATAGACTGTAAGATGATAAAAAGTAAAGTAAAGAAAGAAGAGATATATAGACTGTAAGATGATAGAAAAGTAAGGGAAGAAAGAAGTATAAATAGACTGTAAGATGAGGGAAAGGTAAAGAAAGAAAGAAAGAAAAAAGAAAGAAAGAAAGAAAAAAGAAAGAAAGAAATATATATAGACTGTAAAATGATAAAAAAGTAAAGAAAGAAAGAAAGAAAGAAAGAAAGAAATATATATATATAGACTGTAAAATAATAAAAATGTAAAGAAAGAAAGAAAGAAAGAAAGAAGAGATATATAGACTGTAAGATGATAGAAAAGTAAAGAAAGAAAGAAAAAGAAAGAAAGAAATATATATAGACTGTAAGATGAGAAAGAAAGAAAGAAAGAAAGAAAGAAAGAAAGAAAGAAAGAAAGAAAGAAAGAATGGGTGTTATTGATAGATGGTCGGTTGGATGGATGGGTAGATAAATGAAAAAAAAGAAGGAAGAGAAAAATGAATGAAACAAAAAGATATTTGGATGTATAAAAAGAAAAAAAAAGAAGAAAGAAATATAGAGAGACTGTAAAAGATAAGGAAAGAAAAAAAAAAGGAATATAAAGAAATAAATATAATATAATATATATATATATATATATATATATATATATATATATATATATATATATATATATATATATAATAAAAAACAATGGTAAAAAAGACAGAAAAAAGATAAATGTCGACTGTAAAAATAATAAAAAGAAAGAAAGAGGTTGATAGGCATAAACTGTAAAATGATAAATGAAAGAAAAGAAAATAAACAACGTTAAATAAATGATCAAAGAAGGAAAACTGAAAAATCTAAAAACAAACAATAAATGAAATGAAAATAAAGTTTGATATAAAGATACAAAATGAAACAGAGAAAACATGAAGAAAAATAAAAATGAACATGTAAAGGGAAGCAAACATAAAACAGGAAGAATATATGATAAACACAATATGAAACCCACCAAAGAAAACAGAAAGAAAGATTGACAGTCGATGATCGGAAAGCTGATGGGAATAGAGGGACAGAGAAAAATAAAGCATGAAAGAATCGAAGAAAAATCAAATGAAAGAAAAAAATGTCTGAAGAAAAAAATGAAGCATTCGCAAGACTTCTGAAGTCACGCATGCGCACAAATGCACTTAGTTTTTAACACGCGTGTACTTACAGAGACATATGCTGGGCACGAAGATGTTTTCAATAAACTACACCGTTGTATCATATACTCAGGCTTAACTATAGAGTCAAACTCTTTCACATAGATCCAACCGAATTCGCACCTGTTGTAGCGTTGCTAACGTTTGTAAAGAATAATTAGTAAATTGGTGGTTTTGTTTCTTACCGTGTGCTTGATAAAAGTAGCTTGGTGTTTGGTTCCCACAAATATCTCGAGCAACAAATAGTTCATTAAGGTACTACATGATGTGTTGGTTAGCGTACTATCCTCACAAGTTTCTGTTGTTACATATAAATATATAACCATTGATTTTCACGTCCTCTTTCTCTTTCTCACACACACACACACATACACACACACATATATATATATATATATATATATATATATATATATATATATATATATATATATATATATATATTAAAGGTAATAATGTATATAATGTATATAATCCAAGTGGATCCTAGTAATATAAAATATTAAAACTAATCCACAAAAAGAGCTCAATGTATTTATTATAACAGAGCCATCATTACCTGTCTTATTCAAACCAGGTTGAATAAGACTGACGAAGTTTTCGTCGGTTGAAAATGAGCTACCACCCAAATGATGTAATTTGGGATTTTGTTGTGTAATACTATATATATATATATATATATATATATATATATATATATTATAAATTAATTGATTTAAAATATGTTTTTTCGCTACACAGTTCTAACCATGTTTCAAAAATAGAAGCTAAAAACCCTGAATTTAATTTTGCAATTAAATTAAAAGCATTAGTTCCATTTTATATCTTACTGTTCTTTCTTTTTATTTATGCACAGATATATATATATATATATATATATATATATATATATATATATATATATATATATATATATATATATATGGATGTGTGTGTGTGTGTGTAAATATATGCATGAGCTTGAGTTTTCGTCTAAAATGAGTCATCGTCAGGAATGTGAGCAAGTGAAAGAAAGAAAATCAAATATATTTTAAGCTGCGCCTTCTTTTAAAGAATCATAATTTAGGTTTGAAGATATTTCTCGAATACACAGCCCAACAGACGTAATACGCTTTGTTTCAAATACAAATGGGACGTCTATTTCAAATACGCGTATCCACTAAAATAACGTTTGATGTAATACAAAAATTCAGACTAAAAATAAATAGATAAATACATTCGAAATTGCTTTGTTTACGTTTTGGTTACGAAAATGAGCAGATGTTTTTTTTTAAGAAAAATATCTTGGGGAAATGTGTTTTTCTTAAAAGGGAAAAATAGAACCTTGCTCTACTGTGACGTTCTTTGTAGATGATCAGTAAAGTACAGCGGATCAAACGGCGTCTTTTCCTACTGTTTTAATTCCTGCTGGAGCACACAATTTTTGTATTAGGATTACTCGAATGTGCAGGTCGATAAACGTAATACACACCTAAAAGTTGACATTAACATAAAATATGACGTCTATTCCTAATACCTATATTCGTTATAGAAAGTTTGAGGTAATTTTGTATTTCCATTATGAGACAGGAAAATGCCAATAATCTTGTATTATTACGAACTAGCTGATTTAATTGTTATTACTAGTACAACATTTCGACAAAGTACCCACAGGTCGGGCTAATATGGGATATCTGTTGTTTATTGTGATATTTTCCTATGTGATATCAGTACTTATTCGTTCATGCTGATCGAAGGATTGAACTCATGACCACCAAATAACAATGACATATGTATAAATAACTCCTATATCCACTACGCTACTGTCCCGAAAAACACATTAGTGATGTGTTTTGAGAGCCTTTTTATATTCAATGTCAGGTGTTTTTTGACATGTGGTCATGATGGAGAGTTGATACCGCATTTCATGATTATGACAAAATATAATCAACTCATATTAGCCAATCAATGGAACTTGATGATGACCAGAAGGTACTTAGTCGAAACGTGTTGATAATAACATCTATATCAACTAAGATGAGAACAATATT